TTCTGAAAAAATAACGCCGGCCGCCGCTGGCCTTCGTCAATCGACTGTGACTTGGCCAAAGTCACGTGCTTCTCTATCATTCTTGGTGTTATGTCGCTTCGAGTATATTCCTATCGGCTTCCGACTACTTCCATTGGGATATATAAGCACTGTCAGTAGGCAGATGAGGCAAGCCTAGTTGAAAGTGGGGTACGAAGTGAACTAATAAGGCGATAGATATTTGAGTATTAATCTTTAAGTTTTTGTGTTGTATTGGCAATGTAGTAATGGAATCAATTTGAGTTTTACTGTACAGAGTGGTCAATTATTGTCAAACCCCCTAGAAAGACATAACAATAATTACATTTTCATAACTTGAACCTACAAACGTACAGAGTCTTTAACGATTTTCTTCATTGAAAATAACTCTACTCACATATAATTAAAAATCATCACAGATAGCAAATCAACTATAGGTGTATGGTAATATTTTATACGAGAAAAATGAAATGTACTATGGTTCTCGGTACTCACAAAAATGTGCGAAATTCCCTTTTCACGTGCTTTAGCAGGAATCATCTAGAATGAATATTTCAATTTTTTTTACCAAAAACATTTTCTCGTGTTCAGTAGTTTCACAACAAGTTTAACAAGTAATTTTGTCTTGGATAGTTCGTTCTCCGCATACGACTATCTCAAACTACTATTTTCTTGCAATCTATGAAACTTTTCGCGACATTTCCAACACGTATATGGAAAACTTGCAAAATGTGTGGGTTGACATCGTTTCTTTCGAACGGTATGATGATATCCTCGTGCAATGAGGTTCACAAATATTTGTTCTGTGTGAAGCGTAGAGAATTTGAAAAGGAATTGTTTTATTTTGTTGGAACTTCCTCAGAGTGAAACTGATAACTATGATTTGAAATAATCATACTACTATTTTAATGAAGTTCTGGTGTTTCTTGAGTCGCTGAATTATTTGTGGAAATTTCACTTCAGTAGGTTGATGAACTGAAAATGGTGGAAGTGAAACATTCACGTAAGTTTTGAATGAATTGCCATTTTGGACTATTCACTTCAAACTATCAACTTTGATAGAGCTCCAAATTCTGTCAGAGCCTGAAAAATTGCATGTCACATATTTACTTCGGAATTAACGTGATAATTTCCCAGAATACATAAATGATCAAAGAATGAAATTCGACATTATTTTTTAACAAAAATATTGAATTTTCAAAAAAAATCTCAAATTGTCTGAATGGAAACCAATAAGTCGAGAAATAATTCACTTCAGTTATCATTATTATCTAGTTCTGATAGAACTTTGGTGAAGGGAAATTTAAGAATTTATTGTGAAACTTGATGCTGACCCGAATGTGAAACAATGCTGCTCCCAATCATCGATATACAGGGCCGTTGCCATGGGGGGAAGCCTCCCCCCCTGCTTTTTCGACTTGGAAAAAAGTTGGGAGAGGTTGGGAAATTTTGGGCCATGAAGATAGAAGAAAATAATAGTAGAAAAAAAAAATGAAAGGATAAAAATGAGAGAAAAGAAAGGGGGAGGTGAAAAGAAAAGGGAAAGAACCAGGAGAAGGTTGAGATTTCCCAACATGCATAACTTGAAGAGAATTCTGAGTTGTTTGAAATCTTCAAAAAAGTTTAATTTCTCCCAAGTAAGAAAACAGTCCTGAACAGTCCACAAATTTTGAAGTGACAATTTTACAAAATCCCAATTTTTCGCTGTTTTTTCGACTTGGAAAAGTTGGGAAATTTCGGGCCGTGAAGATAGAAAAAATAATAGTAGAAAACAATAAGCACAATATTATTTAAGTGTTGTTTCCTTTCATTTGTATTGAATATTCCTATACATGGTGGATATGGTGGAAGATCAAGGACCTTGGTCCGAAGTAGAATAATTCCCATTATCATTTTCATAATCACCAAAATTTATTTTTGTTTGTGCATACCCTAACGGGCATAAGCATTCAGCCAATCTTTGGATAGCTAGTAACTGATCCCTCGGCTTTCATTTCTTCGAAAGTTGGTAAATTTTGCTGGTGGGGTTGGGAAAATTTAGATTCTCTGCACCCCTGGTTTTTCTTTTCGCTACGGCCATATCGATATAGCTTACTTCTCAATTGAGTTCAACATTTTCTTCACTTCCGTGGACTGTTATATATTTGTTCACTCATTCATATATAGAAGATATCCCAGAACTGAACATATTCAGATTATTTAAAGTATTTATAAATATGAAGAAAAGAGAATTGAAACTTTCTTTTATGTGTAACTAACGTTACTGCAGTTTCGTCCTATAAGGACATTTTCAAAGTTATACATTGAACTAAAAATGACTGATTACATAAGCCCTCATATAACACCACTGGAGGTAATAATAGAGGTACTTAGCTCAATTGTGTACCTGAATTTGGTTTACTTGTGACAATGTGGATACGCTAATTTGAAAACTGGTGAGTGAACCAGATAGATTTTATCATTTGACAGATTAAGCGTAACCTAACCTAACCTAACCTGAACTAGCTCTATATGATCAGGTCTAACCTAACCTTATTTGTTGAATGATCAAATCGATTTAGTTTAATCACCGGTTTTCAAATTAGCGTATCCACATTGTCACAAAATGCAGGTACCCAATTAAGCTAAGTACCTTCATTATTACCTAAAGTGGTGTTATATAAGGACTAATGTAATCATTTTTAGTTTAATAGATAAATTTGAAAGTGTTCTTGTAGACGAAACTGTAATGAAGTCAGTTAAAAAATGAAAAAGAAATGAAAAAAACATAGAAAGTTCCAATTCTCTTTTCATCATTATGATTTTCTACCACATAATAACGGCTACATCCAATTTATTTACAAATGTACAAAAATAACGGACGGGTGAAATTTTTGTTCTGAATGCACTTTTTATAGGTAGGAAATTAATTAGATCAAATGATACATTTTTGAAAAAAATCTGTTGAAAATTTGTTGAGCTCCGGAAAAGAGTGAAATTGAAATAAGGTTTATATTTTCTATTAACACCAACGAACAATTTGCATAGATATTGAAACAATTTAAAAAAATGTTTCCTCCGTTAACCAGCTGCCGCACCCCTACGAACGACAATCCTCAGAAGTCGAAACTTGTGCGAGCTAAGGACTAACGAGGTCTCACCTTTTAACGTGTGATTCCTAACACTGGTATTAAAGGGTATAAAAATGTATAATCACACTATACATTGCATTCAGTTCAAAGAAATGTGAATTTGTTTTGAAGTCGTAAGAATATGGTTATTTGAACCCCTATTTAACCCCTTCTTTATATAAAAAAATTAGTACGGGGTTTAAAGAATACGATATGATAATTTCCCACCGACCCGCAAACCTCTTTTAGAATTATTTATAATTCTATACACAAATAATTTTTTGGGGTGTTTAGCAACTTTACTACTCAAGTGCAGTTTGGAATAAGTCGAAAAAGTAAACAACTGTGATGTTAATAATAATCGTTTTTCTTGGGTGGAATGAAAAATAAAGAGTTCAGGTGATATTAAAAACTGTACTGAGTTAGGTTGTTTGTTGACCACCAAGTCTTCATATTTTACAAAGCTTACTATAAAGAAATATTGAAGATTATTTATTATGGAAAAGTTCCAAAAAGAAAAAAAAATCATATTCACTTATTTGCTGAGAGTTTCAAATTATGAATGAGACAAAGTCTTACAATATTGGGTCAAACAAAAATTGACCAAAAACACTTTCATTTTTAATTACCATGCTTTTATTAGCTTCACCCGTATGTATGTTTGTTTGTTTGTTTGCTTGTAACTCTCAAGCTGGGAATCTGTATTTAACAGAATTATCGACATTATTGCTTGATCTATTCGCGGGCAGATGGCGCTGTACGTAGTCTCCTTGATATATCGACATTATTGATTGATTTATTCGCGGGCAGATGGCGCTATACGTAACCTCCTTGATATATCGACATTATTGCTTGATCTATTCGCGGCAGATGGCGCTGTACGTAACCTCCTTGATATATCGACATTATTGCTTGATTTTTCGCGGGCAGATGGCGCTGTACGTAACCGCCTTGATATAATTCGAACTCACTTTAAATGTATTTCTTCCTTGGAGTATTTTTTTATTAACACGCGCGACTGCTGCCTTATTTGTGACCCTCCTTTGCGCGCCTGCTGCCTTGGGCTTGATAGCTGATTTTCAGGCTCCCTCTCCGGAATCGAAAAATATCAATGTTCATTTTTCTAAACAATATACGGATGATAATACAAGTATTTTTCGTTTGTTATTGTTTTAAGCTCAGGAGAAAATTAATAATCAAGTTGTATCCTATCAGTTACTGAAAATAATGGAATATATGGAAAACTGATATCGTGTAGGTACTTTAAGTGTATTTTTCTATCATGCAGATTTTCAAATGGAACTTTTGTGACATTTTTTATATGAATGTGAAAGTTTCACAGTAAACTGTAGGTACTAAAAAGACTCATATTCTTCTGTATACTTCGAATATCTACATGATAATATCAACGAATCGGATTATTACGTATAGAGACAAACCTGAATGAAAGATGAACATAAGCAGTAAACGAAATGAAAAAATATAATCGGATATTGTTAATGGAAGTACAATAAATTTAATTCTCAGCAAAAATATCAGAACAATTATGTCTCGAGTTTTTTGGTAGTATTTTAAACATGTTTGATATTTTCAGTTCAGTTTTCAGTAACTGTTAACATGTGACTCAAATATTATATTCCTCAAGCGATTCGTCTAATTACTGGTTTTCTGAATATTCCTGTTTACCAAAAATTCAAATTTGTTGTATGATTGAGATTCAAAATTGAATTTTTCAATGTTCTACCTAAAATCTTCACTTTGATTATTCCCGTATTATCCTGTATACAGCATAATTCCTTGGTGGAAGGGTTGGTTATGGTTTTTGCATTGTATTTTATTTTGAGCCAAGTGACCAAAGCTTCCCGCTTTTGAATGAACAGAAATGTAAACTTACCTATTATTTCCAGCCCAATGATAGGCATAGCAGAATTCAAACACATCGAATATTTCGATGGATCCAAGGTTCCAGCCTGTCACACACTAGCCAACACGTTTTGGTCTGCCCTCTACTTCCTCAGCAGCATCCTCCTTTTCTTCATTGTTCCTTTGATCATCCTCGTGGTGTTGTACTTCATCATAGCAAAAAATCTCATCTCTAATGCAGCTACGTTAGTTTTGAACAAGCACATAGATAATTATTCTATTAGAGCAAGGAGACAAGTGATTTTGATGTTGGGAACGGTAGTTTTAAGTTTTTTTCTTTGCTTGATACCGTTTAGAATTTTTATTTTTTGGATTATTGTAGCACCGGAAGAAAATATTCTCAGACTAGGCGTTGAGAAGTATTACAATATTTTATATTTCTGTAGAATAATGGTTTATCTAAACTCAGCAGTGAATCCGATACTCTATAATTTGATGAGCTCCAAATTCAGACACGGCTTTGTCATTTGTTCAGATACCAAAAGAAAAGTATTTCGGAGATCCAGAAATGGTACATCCAGTACCACTGCTACTAGGAGTAGCAGTACCTTCAGAAGTAGCCATGACAGTTATAATTACAGGGTTTGTTATAGACCACGAAATAATTCAAGCTTAATGAAAAGTTTCAGTGAGTCTCCTGACTCTAACAGAAGCACTGACTCACATTCAATTATACTGAAGGAATTGTCTTCAAAAACCGCGTGTTCTCTCAAAACTACTAGTATAGACGAAGAATATGACGATTTTGATGTCGGAAATACTAGGGATCATGCTAATTTCAATGTGCTTACAGACAACGCTTTAATTTTCCAGGAAGGCACAGATTTTAAAAAATGTTTTCATAGTAAATGTTATGACAATACTGAGGAACAAATCGATCTTCATGAAAAATTCATGAAACTTGATCGAAAGCAAGACGAAGAAAGTTTTGTTTAGACTGGATTGAAGTTTTGGATCCTGGCGAGATTTAACACACTATTTGGTCTAATACTTCTGGTTCGGAAGAAATTGGTTCATCCTAACTATTTATTTGTTATCCCATACTGAAAACTGATCCAACGATTATTGCAAGAAATATACAGAGTGTCAAATCGAAAACTTTCCCTCTTTGTTATCTACCTTGCAAAAAAATTATATGAAAAATACATAAACCATCAGTAATCAAAGTCAAAAAAGATGAATAGCAGTTGCTTGCTTGGAGGCTGACAAATTTCAATTAAAATTGCTATAACATCTCCCACTACGAAGACGCCATCTTTGGGATCAACAGTCAAGGAGAGTCAAAGATGAACTTGGCTTCCCAAGACAATTAGTTTCACTTCAGCTTTGATTGCAAGGCGACTAGTTGGAAACAATGGTAAAAAACAAATTTATTGCTGTCCTTGAAGAACAAGCTTGTGAAAGTAAAGTCGCTGACATCTTCCTAAGGGGAGATGCCACTCATGGGACCAACTAGTTACCTCGCAAGAAAACTAGTGAGAGACATAGGATATAAGTCTTTCGCCGATCGATGTCGCAGCTTGGCTTTGCACCAAACTTTCTTAAAGAGTCTCGTTCATCTTTGATAACAGTAGGTTGAATCTTCTGTCGATATCATAGATGTCTTCTTCGTTAGGAGATATGCCATTGCCTTTACTTTCTCAAGCTTGTAGCGTCTAAAAATGCATCAATAATTCAGCCTACTATTACTGATGAGGTCTATGGTGAGTTGAAATAGCACTGTCTTGTGTTGGGTCACGGTTGCTCCATCTTCAGACTCTTCTGAAAAAATACTATGTTGAGTCTCCTTTCAATAAAAGTTCATCAAATGAGAGATTTTCAATTCTTATTTGAATTGGAGTGTGTTCGAGAACGGCAACGTTTCTTTTGAATTTCAGAATTCTAAATCCTGGAGTTAGATACGTTTTTAATTTGGTTACAAAATTTTTTCAAATACTGATAGTACGACAAATATAATGAAAAACATTCGAAAGTATTCATTGTAGAATATACTAGCTCCCAACACAAACAGTAGCATGACAAAAAACAAATACAGAACGGCCACAAAAAAAATTTATTTGAATTAGTACCCTTGAATATAGTGCTCCACACTGTTGATATTTCTGGTTTGATGGATTGATAGAATAGGAGCAACTAAATTATCTTCAATATCATTAGATCAAACTTCTTCAGAAGACATCAGTTATTCATAAGAGACCGGTCAATTCCTGTTGAAATGTTTATGAATGTTATATGGAGGATACGAAAAAGTCTATGTGAGTGAAGTGGTCTCAAGAATTTTTTTTCAAATCATCAACTCATGCCATATATATCAAATTCTCCATCTGGTGTACCCGAAGAGTGAAAGAGTAGAACCGCTTTTTCTGAGATTATTTGTAAATGATATATTCCCTTTCAAAAATCATTTTTGCTGATGTTATAAAACTTCATAGGAAACTCACTCCTTTCCAAGAACAGTTTTCCCCATAGCCTACGAATACACCAACAATAGTGGCTCATTGCAGAAAGTAGTAGACCTTGACAGCGAATTGACATGCATGCAATACCTATATCGACAAAATGATATCAAATATTATATAACAGATCTTCGGGATTTCCTGAACGCACAAAACACAAAATCACAAATCCGAAGTTATCGTTTGTCTTTCTTTGTTTAGTGTGCAGCAAACTAGAATATTTTAGTTCAATATTAAACACAAGTTGTAACAAATACATGGGGATGCCACATTTGTTAAAAGAAAATTATATTTGTAAATTTATTCATTTCGTGAAACACAAAATTCACCTGGACATAAGTATGATTATAATTCTCTACTAGTACATTTTAGACTAATCAGCTTGAGAAAGCGAAGAGAAATGGCAGAAATAATATTCGTTCCCAAATATTCAACAATCACTTCTCATCATCCTTACTATCCTTCTTAAATTGTAACTTACCAGGTGTTACATCGAGATCATAACTTGTCTTCAACTTCTATAGTTCCATCTCTTGAATGTGTAGACAAATTAATACTATTCACTAGCACTAGCACTAGCACTAGCATTTTTACAATAAATTGTATTCAAAACGCGTTTCGCTACACTGTAGCTTCATCAGTTAATGATGTCATACCATGGGGAATAAACTTATATTTCAAAACTATGTCGACTTGTCACAGCTTTTTGATTTTTCAGAAATTTTCCTGGAAGAAAGATATTAAAGACGGAAAGTTTTCATTTAAACATTCTGTATGAAAAGTAGGTGTATATTTGCATAGAAATTCACTAATTTAGGATTATCGTAGTAGTAGTGAATCTTGCCGCTTCCATTTCAAATGTGAACGTTTATAATAGATTTAACTTAATTTCTTGTAATGCATTCGATGTTTACCAAAGATATAGTTGATAATAAAGTGTTATATATGATTTTTTGTATAAATGAAATTGTTATTCCTTCCACATTGCATCAACTATTTCGATCAGCATACCTCTCACAAATCATTGTAACCATGGACATGTAAGTATATAATCTTTTGACTTATTGCTTTCTTCTTTTCAATCATTCATTTTATACCGAATGAGTTTGCCACACAAATTATCATTGGTATTTCCTTCCCTGTAAATATTTAGCACCTTGTAGATAGTAGACCTCACTAGTCAGTTAAGAAACACGATTTTGGATTGTAATTGCCCTAAATTCTGATATCATTTTTATCTGACATTGTGTGAACATTTTTATGAGCATGTTCATTATCACTTCCAATTATCCATACTTAGGATTTTCTTCCCTCGAAAGAAAATAACGTTTACAGTTCACTTCAACATTTTTCGAATTTTAGGTGCAGTTGAACTGATATAGCCAAAATATCAATATCATTCATCAATAAGCGAAAACATTAAAACTCATCTAGCTACATGGATCACATACATGGATCATATAAATATTGATTTTCAGGCTTCGCATTTTTTAATATTTCAATTTGATTTTCTTCATAGTGATCCAAACGACTTTTGATCAGATAGGCGAGGTGCCATACTCATATGAAGAAAAATGTTTTTGAATGATGTTCAATAATATAATTGAAAAGAAAATAGCTTCGTAAACTTCAAAATATTTCGTGACAATTTTTGAATCACCACAAGAAACTAAGAAGAAGGCATAATCATTCAATTTCATATAGTTTCTGGTAAAAACTATACAAATAGTTCACAAGATGTCACCAAATGGTATCAAAACACTTTCTTATATTGGTCTCTTGAGGGAAATACGGTGTGGTCTTCGGTATTGTGTTTTTATCTGGTTCTGGACGAAATTGCATGTTTATATTTTTTTGGTGAACCACTGTAACCTCTATCACAAGGGAAATTCACAAAATGTTTTCCCATTATGTTGGATTGGAAATGGAAACTGCACTAGATTATGAATGTTTTCTTTGGTAGATTTGAAGTGAATTTTTTGCACATCTGTCGGAAATGTATAAGACCACACCGTATTTGTGTATCAGAAATTAGCAATCGAACATAAAAGAGTTGTGTGGAAATAATACCTGTATGACCAGGAATATGTTTCAATAGCAGGAAAGCGATCGTTTGTTCTTTATCAGAGGTATATCTGATGAGGACAAATTTTGCACACTTTTCAATTATTGTTCAATAGTCTTGCGTAGATAATCTTCAGTAATTATTCCCCGGCATAATTCAACCGTAATTATCGCTTTGAATACAAAACCTGAGATTTTGCATACTTTTGAGAAATGAAACAACTTGGGACTACAATTCCATGAATGAAGATTAAAGCAATTTCAGAAATTCAAGTCGATCCATTTTTTATGTCGCAATAAATTCAACTTCTCAAATAGAATAGTAACTTACGTAACAAATCCGGAAAATACTTTTCCGGATGAGTATAGACAAAATTCTCGAAGGAGCCGTAGGCGAGCGAAAGTCTGCGAGTTCAAAAAAATTGGTTTCTGACGTCTTACGTAGACTATTCGTTGGCAACTGTGTAGAATAACAAAACAATGAGACATATTTTTCCATTGCATTTCTTTGTAGAAATGCAATGAAAATCCGAGCAATTGCTAATATTGAAGGGATATAATTAATTTGAACTGATTGGTATATTCAAATTTATTTTGTAGAAATAAGAGCATGAAGGTAAAGTTTCCGTTTCATATTGATTGTTTTCATGTCATAATTTTTGAATTTACACTCATTCACACTATTAAATAATAAGAGTATATCAGATTATAATATTCTTTTTATTTCATTTTTGACAATTCAGGAAAACAATTCGCATTACTTTAATAAATTCAACAAACAAAAAAAGGGGGAAACGTCAACGATGTGAAACAAATCAAATTAATTCAAAATTTTCTGCATTTAATCGAAATCATCTGTCTGTGCGTTATTATCATCGAATCAGATACTATAGAAGTCCCTAGATTGTTCAATTCCACAAATCAAAAACAAATAATACAGTTCTTGGGAAAATAAAGATTTTTTGAACTTCAACTTCTCCGTTCTTATGGAGGGATATTCCTTCTGAAGGAATAAAGAAAGCAATCAAGTTCTAAATAAATTCTTTACAAAGATGTGTAGCTGTAGATCATACATGTAAGGTACTTTCAGATGCAAACGGGAAGAAAAAGCCCTCATGAAACAACTACTTTTTAGTGAACATTTAATTACACGAAAGAAAAAGAACGTTCGAAACAACTACTCCCAAATGAAAATCAAATTAAACAAAAATCACTTTTTTCTATTCAGTTTGTACGAATGTTTCTAGTACAAACTGAATGGATAAAAGTTATTTTCGTATAATTCAAAGGCAAAAAACCTTTTTTTTTCTCAAAAACGAATGTATCCTAAAATCTACCCATTTCAATTCAAATAACCCAGTGAACTGAAATGTACTTAAAGCGATAATTACGGTTATTTGTTTCGGATCACATACTGACACTCTTTTCTATTTTTCAGCCCAATCCTCGCCATCACTCAGTACAGCATGGAAGAATATTTCGACGGCTCTCTAGTATTCGTTTGTTTCAGCTTGGTTGAAGACCTTTTCCCTTGTATATTCTTCATTGGGTCCATTATGATATTTTTCCTCTTTCCCCTGGGTATCCTCATTGCCATCTACGCTTTGATAGCAAAATCCCTAATGTCGCAACCAACGATAATGATAGCTCAAAGATGCTCAACAGTACCCTGCCAGAGCGTGATAAAGTACAGAAAACAGGTAATCTTGATGCTGGGTACAGTTGTGCTAGCGTTCTTCATTTGTTTACTGCCCTTCAGGGCTCTAACCTTGTGGATAATAATCGCGCCAGCAGGTTGGAGCCTTGAAATCGGTTTCGAAAGATATTATAACATCCTCTACTTCTCCCGCATTATGTTTCACATTAACTCTGCGGTTAACCCCATCTTGTATAACATAATGAGCTCCAAGTTCAGAGGGGGATTTTTCAAGCTGTGCGGTGCTGAGAACTTACGAATCAGGTGTAGGAAGAAGCCGGAAATTACGAGAAAGAGCACCACAAGCTCGTCCACACATACTTCGTCGCAGCAAACTTCCGATAGTTTTCTCAAGAACAGTAAAAATTACTCCAGGCAGTCAAGCTATCTGAAGGAGGTCAAAGAATTGCCCTCGGAGGGGGAGAGTTCAAACAGTGTGAAAAATAAAGGTTTGACGAAGAATGTTTACGTTAGGGCACCGTTACAGGTGGTGAATGGTATAAATGGCCAAAAGCTCCCAGCTGGGGAAATATACGTTTAGTATAGTACAATTGTTGTTAGTCGCGTCAATGAAAATGTAAAGTAGGCCATCTTCAGGAGCAACTCCGATATTATTGATTATTTTCTTAGTATTTTCTTTTCAGATCGAAGATAGAGTTATTTATATTGCTTAAACACTATTTATGATATTCAAGTGAAAAAATGATACCAAACAATCTCTTTCGAAACTTCAAAAACATATATTTATGTTATTGTTTTCATATGGCTATCATAAATGATTCTAGTTATATATCCATTAACCAAAAAATAGTGTGAACAAAATCAAAAGAGTTGTTCGTGCTCTAATTGCATACAATGTGTAAAATCCAAATGGAATAAATTCATTATTTCGGTTACTGTACTTTTTTTTAAATCCCTAAACATGTCAAATGTAAATCATAATTTGACATTCTTCAACGTAAAAATTCCACCCCTACTTTCACCCCCTTTGAATGACAGGTACAACCCCCAATTTTTTGAATGGGAAGTATAGATTTGTGCTATTAAAATCATGTGGTTACCGAAATTCGATAAAATACACTCAAAAACTAAAATTAATGCAAAATGTAATAAAATGTAGAATACGAAAAAGAACGAACTAGATGTTCAAAATGTTCACCGCCTGCGTCTTGGCAACATCCTTATCTCAAATAAAACCGTCTTTTAACATTCTTTAACATATCAGGCGTGACCGACCTAATCACAAGCTCTATTCGTTCTTTCAAGTCATTCAAATCTGAAGGTTCAGTTTTGTACACATTGCTCTTTACATATCCCCATAAAAAATGATGAAAAATCAGGTGATCGCGCTGGCCATTAAATCGATCCCCGCCTCCCTATCAACCGATTGGGAAAGGTTGTATCAAGGTTTTGCCGGACATTAACGTAGTAATGTGGTGGTGCTCCATCCTGTTGAAACCATATGTATTCACTGGAACGTGAGGGTTTCCTGGATCAGGATATAAATTTGCTAAACTTAGAATGACATCATTTTGAAGTAATGCCAAATAATTATCGCCCTCAAAGAAAAAGTGACCAATGATATGGTTTCCTACAATTCCTGCCCAAACATTAACCTTTTGAGGTTATTACGTGTGTTCTTATCTCATCCATTGAGAATTTTCCGTTGACCAGTAGCGACAATTTTGCCGATTAGCATGACCGTTAAGAGATAAAGTCCACTCATCAGAAAACATAACGTCTTCCAATTGGATGATATATCCAACATGTCCATCATTTTCTCACAAAAATAAGTTCTTCTATCAAAATCGTCTTCCATGAGCTCCTGAGTAGGTATCATTTAACATGTATGCAATTTATTTCCTTTTAATATGTTTACTATCGATGAATGGGTAACATTGAATGTAGTGAATGCCTGTCTACTCGATGTATGTGGGTTTTCCTCAAACTCAGGTATCACATCTGCCCCACATGACCAAGCTCGCGAAACTTCTCTATTTTTCTTATTGTTCCTTGAGATATGGGCGGTAAATTAGGAAATTTCTCATGAAATAGGCGAGCTACTTCCTGTTGTGTTCCAATCATTTGTAAAACTGTTACTTTATGCATTTCCGTTAATCTAACCATTTGTCAGACTTGAAGTTGACGAACTTTAAACTCAAAGTAAAATACTGACAACTAATGTTGTATAATACAAAGCAAGTTGACAAGGCGTTTCAAACTAACGTTGCCACTGAAATTATTTACAGTTTTTTTAAAGGATGCCATCTAAAAAGGACATTGCTATGGTTTTTGCTTACTTTCTTATTATCAATACCCCAACATGAAATAAGTTTTGAATAAAATGCAATAAGTTTTGGGTGTATTTTATCGAATTTCGGTAACCACATGATTTCATTTTCATTTATTTTTGTTCAATTGTTCTATTTTACTTGTATTTTATTTCACTATTATTTCATTTCAGGTTCATTTTGCTGAATATAATTGTTATTTTCAGCTATTCATTTTTATTTCTTCTTTTTATTTCTTCAATTTCAAATCATTTTATATAGTAGACAATGGAAATCCGAACTAGTGAAATTCATCATGAAACATTGTCAATCACCTTCAAACAAAAAATAAATTAAAATCATGTGGTTACCAAAATTCGATAAAATACACTCAACAACTAAAATGTAATGCAGAACGTAATAAAATGTAGAATACGAAAGAGAACGAAGTAGATGTTCAAAATGTTCACCGCGAGCGTCTTGGCAACATCCTTATCTCAATTTAAACTGTCTTCTAACATTCTTTAACATATCAGTCGTGACCGACCTAATCACAAGTGCAATTCGTTCTTTCAAGTCATTCAAATCTGAAGGTTTACTTTGGTACACATTGCTCTTTACATATCCCCATAAAAAAATGATGAAAGATCAGGTGATCGCACTGGCCATTCAATCGATCCCCGCATCCCTATCCAAAAATTGGGAAATGTTGTTTCAAGGTATTGCCGGACATTACCTTGGTGATATGACGGTGCTCCATCCTGTTGAAACGATATCGTATTCACTGGAACGTGAGGATTTCTTGGATCAGGATATAAATTTGCTGAACTTAGAATGAAATCATTTTGAAGTAATGCCAAATAATTATCGCTCTCAAAGAAAAAGGGACCAATGATATGGTTTACTACAATTCCTGCCCAAACATTAACCTTTTGAGGTTATTACGTGTGTTTTTATCTCATCCATTGAGGATTTTCTGTTGACCAGTAGCGACAATTTTGCCGATTAGCATGACCGTTAAGAGATAAAGTCCACTCATCAGAAAACATAACGTGAGCAAATGTCCATCATTTGCTCACAAAAATAAGTTCGTCTTTCATGAGCTCCTGAGTAGGTATCATTTTACAGGGATGCAATTTATTTTCTTTTAATATGTTTACTATCGATGAATGGGTAACATTGAATGTAGTGAATGACTGTCTACTCGATGTATGTGGGTTTTCCTCAAACTCAAGTATCACATCTAATTTGAGTTACCCATTGCATTGATAGTTGCTTTTTTTATCTGCCCCACATGACCAAGCTCGCGAAACTTCTTCTTTATTTTGCTTATTGTTCCTTGAAATATGGACGGTAAATTAGGAAATTTCTCATGAAATAGGCGAGCTACTTCCTGTTGTGTTCGGTTTTTATCTCGGTAACCAATCATTTGTAAAACTGTTCCTTAATGCATTTCCGTTAATCTAACCATTTGTCAGACTTGAAGTTGACGAACTCTAAACTCAAATTAAAATACTGACAACTAATGTTGTATAATACAAAACAAGTTGACAAGGCGTTTCAAACTAACGTTGCCACTGAAATTATTTACATTTTTTTTTGAATACCATCTAAAAAGAATATTGCTATGGTTTTTGCTTACTTTTTTATTATCAATACCTCAACACGGAATAAGTTTTGAGTGTATTTTATCGAATTTCGGTAACCAACATGATTTTAATAAATTTCATCATAATTGTTAAAATAAACTTGAAAGCAATAACATTTTTGAATAGAGAATGAAGAGACCTTTCGAACGATAAAAAATTGAGAGTTGTACCTGTAATTCGACGGGGTTTGAAGGAAGGGGTAGCATTTTTCCGTTGAAGTATGTCAAATTATAATTTAAATTTGACGTGTTTGTTAAAATATGTACCGTAACCAAAATAATGAATTTATTCTATTTGGTTTTTGCACACTTTATAATTGATATACGAAATGATTCATAATCAATTCATAGATATTCACAAAAAATATAAAATTAAGTTTAATGAAATTCAGTTAAAAATTATTTGACACTTTATTGACCCACATAAAAAAATTATCAATCGCATTTTTATATTGTTGAATTTGCAAGTAATTTTTTTCAATCACATTCAGTTAATGGAAAAATGAAAAAAAATTATTTTCTGTAGTTTCTGCATTTTTTAATATTTCGTGAATGAAGTTGTTTTGAGGCATCATTTTTGAAAAATTATTGCTACTTATCGATAGCATCAAAAAAGTTACTAATATGGAAATGTTTTCCGGGTTTTGCCGTGGTCTTCTTTGATTATAATCTCCAAACATTTGAACTAACGTATGAGTATGCCACTGAAGATGACCTCGCAGTTGCAGTTGAAACGTTTGGAGATTAAAATCAACCACGGCAAAACCCGAAAACCAACCAAAACACAGAGCTGATTGTACAATCAATTAATTCACATCACGTTCCGCTTAACCATTCAATATTGTTTTAGGACAGTTTTTGCTGTTTTCCAAAAAAAAATTTTAATAAGATTAAAATCAAAGAAGACCACGGCAAAACCCGGAAACCAACCAAAACACAGAGCTAATTGTACAATCAATTAATTCACATCACGTTCCGCTTAACCATCCAATATTGTTTTAGGACAGTTTTTGCTGTTTTCCAAAAAAAAATTTTTAATTGTATTCAGCTGCATTACTTATTCGAATGAATAATTTATTGAAGTATAATTCACACAGCGGACGGCATATTCAAACGGTATAAGGTATCAGGATCGGACAAAATATACGTGAATATATACGTATCATTTTCAGTAGAAAAACAGGAGTGTTGCGTCACTCGTCGAAAAGGGGTGTCATCAGATTTGTTCAAAAAGGAAGGAGAGCCTCATTTGATGGGTATATCAATCATCTATCCAACATTTTTTTCATTTTTGGAAATTGGATCAGCCATACCTGAGTAATTAGCAGTTTTATATTCGTTTTGAGGATCTGCGATTTCATAAATCATAATTTCTACAAAACAATGTGTTGAAAATTCACTCCAGTCAATTTATGATAGTTCACCTGTCACTTCCTGATAATAATGAGGTTTGTTCACAAATTCATGACTTCCATTATGGAATTTTTCTGGGGTAATTTTGTTATTCTAACCATGAGATCTGAAATAGACTGCCGTTGTATAATTAACGTATATTTCAAATTCTACGAATCCCTACAAAAATCTAAGGGCGTCACATCAGGTAATCTAACGAATCATTCTAGTGGATCGCAAATGTCTATCCATTAGTTTGGATAATTGACATCTAGCCACATTCGAACCAACCTGCCACAATGGAGAGACAGGTACGTCATCTTGCTGAAACGCAACATTGGTTGAAAACTTATTTGGGTTTGGTAATTATCCAACTAACCGGTAGGCAGGCGAAAGAGCCCACTAGATCAC